GAAGCATCATAATATAGTTTAAATAGTAAACATCGGTAGCAGAACAAATTACAATGTATAAACATCACGCATCGAAGAACAGAATTTCAAGTAAATAAATAATACTTGAAGGATTAGAGTGAAAGCCTTATCAACAACATTCAGGAAATTCTGCATGAAGACAGGAGGTTTATCAACAATTCTTAGGATTATTTAAGCATCTCCTGAATATCTTTATACAGAACCTCCAGAGACTATTAAGAATAGTTAATAAATTCACAGAAAGCTCAAAGATTAATGTTATTTAGGTTTTTCTGTAAAGATTTATTTAGAATATAACACGATCTACAAGGCGTAGTTTATATTTTAGCTCTTATCTGATACTAAATCACTATTATTTTTGATCGTATTATGTTTATTGCGGAAGAAAAAATGAAAAATTTTCTAGGAAAAGTATGTGATATGAATACATATGTATGCTTATAGTATTAACACAAATCGCATAATTTAGCAAGATTCCATTCGAAGTGAGTCGTCACGTAGACGAATAAACAAGACTAGAAAAGGATCTAAAACACGATAGTGTCATATGAAAACGTAAAAAGTCTTCTCTACACTCAAATAAAAAAAAGGAAAAATAATTCAGAATGAAGATATTACACAAAACATAATGCTACTATACATAAACGGATGCAGTAAGCCGAAAAAAAAATATCCAATTTTCTAACTCAGAACTTTATTATAGAATAAATTAAGTAAAGAAACCAATCTAGATTATATTAAATCACATTTTAATCTCATAGTTTCGTGATAACAGTATTAAGTTATTTATTTCTACTCGAAAAAACACCTCATAACTATTTAAAATATAAATAATTTAATGTACGAGCCGCTTAATTTGTGAAATGCATGCAAGATACAACTACTTGATAATTTTAGGGGATAAAACGTTATGTATTTTCTTTTTTATATAAAATTAAAATAAAAATTACGTATCATAAACCCTATTTTCAAATCAGATAAGCTTTTTTTATCATTAAAAAAAATCAACTAGCAGAAAAAGATAACTCAACTTTATTTGCAGGAAAACTGGGTAAACATTTAAAATTAGTTCCTATTTAATTTATTAAAACCATAAATTAAAGAAAACAAGCGTAAAATTGCCCATATTAAATATCTACGAAGCTACACATTTAATACAATAATTTAAAATGTATTATTATTAAAAAAAATATATAAAATTCTTCAAAAATCATTTATATATATATATATAACTACTCCATTCATTAAATGAAGGAAATTACTATTAGAGAAAGCTAGTAAAAAATTAAATAAAGTACTAAACTAGCTACTAAATAATTAAGTACTATCATAAAAACGGATTCAGAAAAAAGAAATTCAAGTTAAGAAAGTTGTTAAAGATCCATTTACTCGACAGAAGAAAAAGAAGAAAAAAAAAGGAAACAGTAGACATTCATTTATATTTAATTACAGAAGACGGATACCTTTAATCATGTTTAGTTTCCTTTTATAAGTCGGAAAAGGGATGAATGGTGCTGAATTATTGGGCATTGAATCTTATTTACTTGTACTTTTCTTTCTATCATCGTCATCAATTGCAACATTCTACGTCTTAGTGTAGTATTTTTCCCTAATTAAGCATCTCGTAAAGTTTTTTCTTTTTTAAATTAGTAATTAAGTATAAAAATGTAACTTCGATTTTAATGAATTTAATGTTTTTTTATTTAATAAATTTTGCTTTGATTTTATATTATAATTACTATTAAATAGAGTTAAATGGGAAATATTTCTATCTAATTAGACAGTAAAACCTTAAAGTACTCATTGAAAACTATCTACAAATGACTAAATTAAAACGTAAATTTCAAATTTAATGAATCATTTTTTGATATTCATAAGGTAAATTTTTATAGGCGGAAAAATAAAATATTCTTTCGAAGTTCTGGCTTAACAATTCTTATTTGCTTTGTAGGATAACGAAGCGGTCGAGTATCGAAATTCATCCAATTAGGCAAAGTGGATTCGGTCCAATTAGCAGCAGCTGTGACAGATGAGAAGCGTTGAAAAGGCAACTTTAACATCGTAAAGACACGTGAAAATGGTGCCAACAAACATCACTTCAATTTGTGGCTTTGAACTTCTTTTTCTTCCTTCAATATGCCATGTTTCCCATCACGCAATTATCTAATACTACTTTAATAAAAAGCCAACCTTTACGGGAAGTACTTTTTTCTTGTTTTCTTGAAAGGGAAATATCGTGATCTTCAATCAAACATGGAAAAAAATCCCAAAACGAATGCATTAATTTCTTTCATGTACATCTTCAAGAATTTTAAGCGATTGCAAACGGAGCGTGTCAATTTTCGTCTCTTAAATTCAACTAATGTTGATTATAGTACTTAAACGAGTGCCGGAATTACTCCAACTTTACATAATTGCGTAACGAAACAATTTCGTTCGACACTTAAATCTCCAAAAGGGAATTGCTGCAGCACTTTACAGATTTAATCGTTTCAACTTCACCCGTAATTACGTAACAGTTTATTCTTCTCCGCGTGTATTTATAACTGCTGAAAGAAGCTACTCGATTAAGGATTAAACCCTTTTTGTTTGATAAAAGTGCATCGATAATTATTCAATTTAAACAATAACTAATTGATTTAAGTACGTCGACATTTAATTAAGTACGAATGACTTAAGTAATTCGCTAATTAAAGATGCATTTCCTCGAAATCATCTTCAAGTTTCAAAAAAGTCTCACGCGATACTCGCTACAAATTCATTCAAAACTGCGATAAACATCTTAATTATATATTTAATGCATAAACGAATAAATATAATTAAGCCTTTATTTTATGCAATTAATTATTTACATAATTATTTATTTTTTCTGATTCAGAAACAGGGTACAAACTGCACTTTGCGTGCGTAGTTTCTTGCCTGTTTTGATTGAACAAACAACTTTATATTTACTTACAGGAAAGGCCATTGTGCAGAAACTATTCATAATCATTTTTATAAGAGAATTAGAGATTTTATTAATTCACACTTATCAGATTTAGATTTGTAAGTATATGGTACAGGCTTCTTATAAAAGTCTATACTCTAATTACTGTGTTCAACAGCAGAAGAGACTGTTACTTAATACAGGACTATAGTACACAGTATAATGAATGCTGTAGCAGCTCAGTAATAGTATATGCTGAGTAGGTATAGCGATTTGTATATACTATGAATAGATGGAGACAGGTATGTATCGAGAAAATAGATATTGAATATATACATTTTCCTTTATATTTAAGATATGATATACGAATCTGTACATATATATCATCTGAAAGAAATTTAGAGAACTTTTTAAACGAAAGATTTCTGCTTTGTCGAGCAGATAACATTTGTTTTATTTATAATATACTTAAAAATAGGTTAACGCTACTCTCTCTATATATGTACACATATCAATACAGCGAGTATACCATAAAAAACCGATCAGATTTTTTCCTCGTAAGTCGAATTATTTCTATAACTAATCATTTTTATCTACAAAAATTATCGAAATTTTTCTTTGTTTTTAAATTTCCGTCCAATGACAAAACCCGAACACGCACGTTGTCAACGTCAACGATGCGTGTCTCGCTATGATGTAACCGAAAACATGCATTTTCGAATACCTTTTCGTTGTTCTTGCTGCAATTTTTTGTAATTTTTTACTGCCCCTTTCCTTATTTTACTCGCTCCGATTCTCGGTAGCTTAACAACGAGACGATTTTTACCTGACACCGAGGGTAATTGAACTTGTGTGTGTAAAGTCAATGCGTACAACGAGATATTCTACGGCCCACGCCCATCACGATCCCTATAGAAGAGAAGCACAACATCGATTGTTTGCACCTCACAGTATCTAATAATCAATAGTTATTTGTCTGTTGAACTCTTAAAACAATCGAATCGTTAGGAGGATGATTATCATCTTCGCCTCGTGTTCTTCGTCACCCCTTTTGAAAAAAGCTGGTGTGAATAACGTTACAGAGAATGAAACACGACACACGACAAAGGCATTAAAATTGAAAAAGTGACGTGGATATAAAGAAAAAAAAAATGGAGACAATTAGCGGTTGGACCAATTGGAGACCAAATTGCATAATTGCTGCTACTAAAATTATTGACAAACGTAAAGTCTTGTATTAATAAACAGATGCAAGAGTCATAAAACCTCGATGATTTTTTTTCTCTATAAATTCTCTTGAAATTTCTACCTTTTAAAGCAGCATCTGTCATTAAATTCTTCGACGAGGCATACGGGTCATTCGACCACTCTTAATTAAGACACAGCCATTAAAACGATGCTATCGATGATTAGAAAATTTAATTATATTCTACCTAATCAATTTTTTTTAATCCTGTTTAAAACGAACAGGAATACACATTCGCGTTCCTCCTAAAAATTTTCCAACGTTAAAAATAGGCAAAATTTCCTCATTAAAAACAACAATAAGATAATTATAACGGCAATTTACACAAAAAAAAATAATAATAATAATTGCAAAATAATTTTTCGAAATATCATTCTGAAATGGCATAAAAATTGTAATTTTCGAAACAAATTTAATTATTTACGGAATATAATTTCCAAGAGTATTTTCGGTATTTGAAACAACAGTGAAAGGTATTTTTGGAGGAATATCGACACGATTTCTTGTGTTCTTCGACAAGTAAAAGCTAATGAAAGCACTCCAATTAACGATTGACTTCATTAAAAATAAAAGAAAAAAATATATATTGAATTCCTGCGAAAGGAAATTCCACGAGCGACAGGATTTATTTTCCATTGTTTCAGATACGCAGTCGACTATTGAATACAACGTTTATTATATACAAGTTAGAAACACATTTGTTTCGATAAACAATGGAGTAAATAGCTCGACGTAACAATATATTAATTCAATTTTAAGAGAATTTTCTGCGTATAAAAACGCACGCCATACACGGTATTAACTCACCTGTAACTATTACTTGTGGTAACTCTCAAGTAATAATATTTTCCGTAAGGCGTGAAGGGTTGAAGATAGTTTCGCGGTGGGTGCGACCATATTTCCGCCCTGGTCGTAACACACACGGCCTCTTGATACACCACGGCTTCCTTCTCCAAACCGAACATGTCATACGACAGGTGTTGAAATTAACGACGCATTCCCACACAAATCGCGTAGAGTAAGACATGGATTACACTTATATCCTCTCTCTCGCTCGATCACACGTTTACGCGTTACATCGGGCGTCGTCGATCATCCGTCCGACTCTATCGTCGTCTGCTACTTCATAAAAATACGACGGGAGTTACGTCCGACGCTGGCGCCTCTTTCGTCCAAGTACGGAACTAAAAAACACACGGGTGGTAACCGACTTCATAATACGGAGGAACGCCTACGGTGCGTTGCGTGAAGACACTCCACTGATTATAATTACTTTCATTTAAATGATAAAAGGGGGAAATATACCCGGTGCGTGACCCCTCTGCCGACTTTTTTCCCCCACTTTTCTTATTATTTGCAATGAAATTCACAGATGATGATTAAAAAAGAGTTACCAATGCAGAGCCACTCTCGATTGTTTGTTCCTCACACACAAACGTGGTGTAATTACGCACAACTTACGCAAAAACCAAGTTATAGAAATGCTTTTCCGAGTGGAAGAAGTTCTAACGATAAATCTTAGCTAATGTGTGCGAGTTTAGACCACGTTTAAACAAAACTTCTTTAACAGATCCATTAATCTCTAAAGAAAATTTACTATAACGAATGAACCTTGTTTTTTCTTCTTCATAACACGGGCCAAGCACATGGGACAAAGACAGCTGACTAATGGAAGAGAAAACCCATCTGCCCAGTTTGTAAAGCAGAATGGAATAAATCAAGTTTGTTTAACTAGGAAAGATAAATATAATTGTAAATCCATTTATCATTTGGCAATCAATCGTTGTCTCCAGAAAAAGAAGAGGGGCAGAAAAAAAAAGTTCTCCAAAAGTCCGATTCGAGGTGATGGGGGAAAAACTGTGTTCCTCGAACGTGAGTGTTTGAAGAAGATTCCTCCTACGAAGCTTACCAAAACACGTAGGCACGGAGAAAACGCATTAAGGACACCCCACTTTGTCCCTTTATTGTCTTCTATTACTTAGATTATTAGTTATGAAAGGGAGAACGACGGCGCCAAACCGTCCTGAAAAGCCTTCTTGTTCAATTTAAGCATCGGATAGTTCGGCAGATGGCTGGTGAAACGCAAAAGATCTCGTTAACGAGCCAGAAGTGATGCCAGGGTCGTTGAACCGAGAAGCGAAAACGACAATGCCACCGCGCCATCTGTCGCCCGAATCAAGAGACGCGCGTGCCAGCCATTTTGAAAAACGCCATCGATCCCCGAAACGAATCGCTAACGACCCTCTTCCTGTTCTCTATTGTAACTTTGCAATTAGTAAACCAAGAAATGTACCTCGCTCAGTATATAACGAAACCATTAATAAGAGACGAGACGAGGAAAGTCCTTTGTTGGGGAATTAAACGTTTCCCGGCATCGTCTAGTGTTCCCGACCTCTAACCCCGTAGTAAAAACAGCCCTTAGTAATGATTGAATTTAAACCTGAAAAGAAATAAATGATGCTAAAGCGTCTCGAAAACCCACCCTCGGCAATAAATCCGCCATAAAAGAGTCAAGGTTATGCTTCATTCAACACCACATCTGTTTATGATCAGCCAAATGTGTTTCGTGCTATTTTCATTTAGTGAAAACTACAGTTTAGTGTATTCCTAGAAACAACAGATAAATTTACCAATTATGCGATTAACCAATGAAATTTCCTATCAATTTTTCAATAATTTAAGAAGGAAATTTAAAAAGAAGGAGCAACTCCTCGCGAAAAAAGAGGAATCTTTCCTGACCCACTTATAAGCATTGTATTCAATAATGACTTAATTAACGATTCTCTAGTTACAAGTAACACTTTTCACTTTTATCTGAGATAAGAAAAATGTTCCAATTAATAAAGAAAAATTTAAAAAAACATTGCAATTATATCCAATCGTTAACTGTTCAAACAATAGTTTCCTATCGATCAAACAGTAAAGGGAGATGCCTTTTTTCCTTCTCTCTCTCCATCAGGATGTAGATAAAGGTGATTTTAATAATGGAGGTTTGAAAAATGGACTATTAACTATGGCCCAGTTCATAAAAATACCCGAATAAAAAAATATATATCTTCGATATCCATATATATAAATTATCTCTATTATTACGAACAATGGATCCTATATATAAAAGTAGATAACATCGTCATGCACTATTCCTTTCCAGGTTAAAATAAGAGATTTTTTTATTAGCTTAAATCTGTTCGTAAACTTTCTCTAGACAATATTGCTGGGCCCAAAAGGGGCTGAATTAACGCATTGGATTACCCGGCCGTGGGGCCTCATCTCACAGCTTATTACTAATATTGTTTTGTAACTGTATTCGTATAAAAAAACAAAGAAATTGAGCGAGGTCTCAACAAATTCTTAAAATAGCCTTGGGCACAGAACAGCTGAGGAACAATACTGATGAGACACACGTCATCTGGGATGGAATAATATAAATTATAAACCTATCAGAACAATGTAACCATGTAAATAACACTTTCAGAATGGTTTTTTCGTTGTTTCGTATAAGTTTGGGGATTTTAATGGGCATGACTACTACAAAAACTTCAGATGAACGTTGAACACTGCCAACTAGTTGTGTTCATTTGTGTGACGTATGAACAGTGTTCTTTATTACAATAGTTATTGTCTTTTTAGATTACGTAGCGCATTGTAAATATCGAAACATTATTTATTGTGTTACTGTGTTTTGTATTTATAGTAAAAATTGTTTGCGTGCTGTGTTACGCGCGCGCGCGCTCCATTATTGTTTGCGTGTTGTCTCCCCTCGTGTTGAGTGCCAGTTGTGATTAGTGTGGCGTAGCGCATGGGTGCACGTGTTGTGTTTTCTATTTCATCTTGAATTTGATGCTTTTTTAAAATAACAAAATACATAAAATGTTAATAAAATATATCCACAAATTTCACACACATCTCGCAACAGAGTTGACCCGATAACATTTTACTCCCTGTTTATCTGATTAATAATCTCTTATAAAAAAAATATATAAGAAAAAGTTGTTGTAGAAACAGTATAAAATCTGATAATATCTGTCGATTGAAACGAGTCACTAGGGATGGGTTATAGCGTTCAGAAAACAGATGTTATCAACATGCTGACCTACAGAGTAATAAGTAGTCATTCGACTGGAACGACTGCTTCGAGAAACACCACAATCATCATCGTCACACGTAATTATTAATAGTTTTCAAACTGGATAATCGAATTTCAAAAATGTTCGCAACAAAATATGACTGGCAATTTAGATAACGCGCGATAATTTAATAAAAAGACATTAATTTGATTCTCACGCTGTCTTTACAACAAAATGAAGTTTTCCTAATGGAATGTGTGCTGCACACGAGCCAAACAAGGGTGTTCAGAAGAATATTCTGGCCGGGAATCCAAAATTTATGTAGGTTAAAAAAAATAATCATATGAATTTACTTGAACTTCTTGAAAACAGGCATTTTATCAGTTATTTAATTTGTTTTATTCATATACCTTTATGGATTTCAGAGGGGGATAGACACCACATTTATGATTGGACAGCTCAAAGTCTTAGCACCTATTAGAAACATACAATCAGAGCTTTTTAAACTGCAAAATAGATTCTTATAATAAGCAAAATAAAAAAAAAAACTTTAGGAAAATTTAGGCAAGACGAATGTCTTAATTATTCACAAATCCGGAACTAAAGACCTAAAGTAAGAACATCAACACAGCATTCGAACAAAAGAGAAATATTCTATTCAGTGCTTCCGTTGTCCTCTTTACTCTCAACGCGAAAACTCATTCTCACGAGTAGAATACATAAAAAAAAATAGATTAATGAGTTTAAAGGTCTACGGTGTCTTACTGATATTTAACTTCCACACCCAAACGTCACAAAGAAGGCTGTTAAACTTTCTTAACAAGCATTTAAATACATTGCTTCACAATATATAATGCTAACATCGTAATGGCACAGTCGGGTTAATTGGCCAAATAAATTCAAAAAAGAAAAAAAAAACATTTTTTGAATGATAAAAACTGAATTAAACTAAATTCTAAAGCGAGTTTTACTGCATTTCAAAAGGGAGAATGAAAGACGTCACGTGCAACCGTAAACGCTTCTATAAACGTCCGTGACGTCACAAGACTACACCCACAGCATTCATATCGCAGCTAACATATCAAGTAGTCAGTCGGTTCCGGTTTGGACCGCCAGAAGGAGAGAAAACGTCCATAGATCACTTTCGGATGTATCAATAGTTCAACGCACCTCCATTGTAAATCCACTGTGCACCGAGGATACCAGCTATACAGGATTTTTTTTTTTTGAAATTTCAATGTTACCAAATACCATTCTCAGTCGAGTCATCTATAAACGAAATAATTCTTTTGTTTTTATAGAGAAATAATCGGATTAAGAGTTAAAACCAAGGCAGAAGAATATAAGGATACACAATACGTTACAGGATTTAAATGTAATCCTAATAATACTAAGGGTCAAAATCCGCAGCACGCTCTTAAATATAAAATCTAAAAGCTTAGTATAAACTGGTAACTATTATATAATGCTCCGAATGCGCGCACAAACACCCCCCTTCAGGTAAGCGTTATTTGACTGCAAAACGGGATGCGAGAGGCATTCATTCTTACACGTCATCCTCACTCGTTGTTGGATGTCACATGTTACCCATCATTCTTCGGGGAGGTAAGCTTAATCAGGCAAGACGATCATCTCTCTCCCTAGCGTGACTGATAAGTCGATTGTTGTCGGTGAGAACATCGTTATTCACTGTCACCTAAGGTACCATCCTACGCCTCGAGGCATTCGGCGCATTTCGCTATTTACTAAAATAACATCTTCATTAATAGAGACCAAATTCGAAGACAGGAAAAAAAAAAGAACGTCAGCAAAGAGAGAGAGAGAGAAGGAGACTGTTAATATCGCGAGACTCTGTCTCTGACGTTTAATTGACAGACAACCTAACTGGGCATTTCAAGTTCGAGTAAATGACTTCTACCGTGACAGATGTGGGTAATTATTCTTTCTGACAAACTTAACTTTTTTCCGTATCCTTCAACACGACTCGACTATAAAACACTCCCGGATATTTCAAAACATATTTTTCTCTATTGAAAACGGCAAATACCGAAGATCGGCGGAGGAAAACAGAAGGAAGAGAGGCACACCTCGGGAGGAAAAAAGACAGAGGCGACAGAGGAAAAAACGGAGGCGTCCGGGGGGAAAAACGGAGGAAACAGAGGCATGGGCTGACGAAAACAGGAATTACAAACATTTCGCCATTCAATTTATAAAATGTGGTAGGATATTAATTCAATTTCCGTGTCTTTTTCTCTCGACGAGGTGGACGACACGAAAATTAGGTCAAGCCTCCACTACACACGGCTAAGATTGTATTGGGTCAGCGCTTTTATGTACTCTACTAGGAAGAATTTTTTTTATTTTTATTTTATTACTTATAAAAAACGAGCGAGACTCACATAAATGTCAACTTACATCTCTATAACTGTAAATACGTGTAAATGTATAGCTACAACGACATTTTTTTTTTAACATTAAAAAACTTAATATAATAAATCTTTATCAACGCAGTAACGTGCGGTTATTAAGCGAGAAAATATACGAGCAATTATTAAGCAATAGCGTTTATGTATACGCTGAAATTCGGTACTTTTAATATCACAATCCCAACTGGTAGGTCGCGATCTCCGTAGATAACGTTATATTCTTCGGTGCGTGTAAAGGTTGAAAAGGTGGAAGAAAATTCCCTTCTGTGAATTCTAAAGGGTAGAAAACGCTTCTTTATACACTCAAAGGGTGAATTATTATTCTACTGATTCTGCAGAGAGTAAAAAAGCACCCCTCAATGGATTATACAGAATTAAACGAAAATAACTACCCTAAACACTTTAAATGTTAATGATGGAAAGAATTTATGCCGTCCATTTAATCAAATATAGTCAATAACGCACGTATAAATATACTTTAACCTTGTAAAATTAAATAATTAACGTTCATCGCGCTGACTCGGGCGCTATCGAGTCGAGGTCGTTAATTAATAAAAATGAATTTTATGATTCGTCGGTAGTGGCATCTGGTGAGACAAAACGGAAACAAGTTACTTAAGAGAATATTCGAATTCAGCGAAGATTGAAGACAAAGGCCATAAATTTTCATTAATTTCGAACGAGAATCCTATTTAGAATCGTTAATGCTTCGTTTGAGCCGACTCCCGCGGTTTTTTCACCCAGAATTAACGAGAAAAGATTATTAATTCACGACTAATTATTGGTTATTTTGAAAATGACGTCACCGACTCACCTAACCAATCGATCGCCTTCTGACGGGGAATGAAGTGCCAAGGGCATCGACTGAGTCGAAACGGAAACATTTCTGGAAATTAAAAAGAAATATAATATATTAATTGAGGCAATAAATAATAATTAAATGTTTTAAATTAATCCAAACTAATGCTATATTTATTTATATAAAGAGTCAATTTAGGTTAATTACAAAAATTAAATTAGTTAAGAATTATCATGCCAGATGGCACCACAAACCTTAGAAATGTTCAAATTTCAAAAGTATAAAACTGAATAAATGAAGAATAAATTTATGGCACGCTTCAGTAATTCGAGGTTCAACTAGTAAATAATGTGTTTAATGATACTAGAAACACTATTAAGTAGGAAACAAACACGTAAAGGGTACACGTAGAAACATAGAAATTTCA